ACATTTTTCGGTCAAAAGCTCCTTAGAGCTTGTGTTTGTATCTTAACTTGTGCCGAATCAAAATATTTCTTTTCTTTTACAGTAAAAGATAAATTGACGATAAAAAGAACCAGAGGCTCTCAAGAGCCTGTGTCGCTCACCTGATTCTACTTTGGTTTTGGAAATCATGTAAAAATAGATTAAAATCATAACAGATACCTAATAATGATTGAGGCCAAATTTGGTTTAATATTGGCCCCGTAATTTAATCAAAAGCAGACCACTTTTGTAAAGTTTACAGAAATTACCAATAAATTCATTGAAATTGTAGAAATGACTTTATACGGACAATAACTCCAACAAGATGTCAATTGACAATTTTGCTTATGTTGACTTATGTGTAGATCTTTTTTTCTTGATATTTTTGCCGTTTACAGTATATTTTAATCTATAAAGATACATGTATTAAGGTAATTTCCTTAAAATGAGAAATAAAGTTGTTCCACCCAGGGCCTGTATTATGCTGGAAATATTTAAATCTTTTTTGGAACACCTTTCAATAAAAATTTGGGCAGGGGTTTGGGGGGCATTCACCATATATAAGTATGCTGAAAGCTAAGTGGCTAAGTTTAATTCCATTTGGCCAAGTTACAAGAAATAGTAAGTAAAACTATGTTCACGCATACTACACGTCGTGATAATTGTTCGGTTGTATGAATGAAGTCGCGTGGGTTTCATTAATGAATTGACGCGGATGGACATGAACACGTGACGTTGCTGCACTGATACATATCGTCATTGCCTAATATTTTCGAGTATCAGGTCCTGTCCATGATCTTAAAAAATATGACAGTAAGATCAATGGAGAAATGTACAAATCGTCGATCAAATGATAGTCAGCTGTACATTATTTATTAACTACTCTGTTATTGGACTTAATATGATGATAACTGCCTGTGCTTTTATCAGGAAAGAATTTAATACGTTTCCAGATAAAACTTGCCGGAATGGCTTTGAGTGGGATCCCATCTGTGGGATGGTGTTAAAGCTGGTGAAACTAGCTTTTGTATACGTAGTCTGTAATATCAGGTTAAATGTTTTGGTACCAATATATGAGATATTGGGTTTTTAAATAATGGATTCGAATATATCACAGTTCATTCACATCTAAATCGGCAGTCCAATTCAATAAACATAAACAAATTGGTAAAGTCCAAATTCATTTGATAGAGTCCAAATATAAAATAACAGTGTTATACAAATCAGTAATTTAAACCAAAAACAACATATCTGATTACATTGGAAAATCCTAACGCAGTTCATGTGCTGTCGTTGGCATATCCAAACGGAGTCCCATCATACAAATTATCTTTCTTTAAATACCAAATATAGCGTTGCTAACAACAAAGTTTGTAATGGTCATTTTGTCAACAGAAATTAGATAACAGATTGATTCCGTTTATCAAAGAGAAATTATTTACACGCTTGTGTATTGAATTAAACATAATTGATCAAATAGAAATATTGAATAACCGTAAGATGTAAGTGCAATCTTGACCATAAGTATTGACAAATATAAATTTACAATCTAACATGTTTCAGGTGTAATCACATATTTCGGACATTTAAACTCATTATGAATTTCGAGATCATTACTATTGAATAAATTTAATATGCCTGGTGCATACGAAATGTACACGTTAATAAACTGTAATAAAAATCAACATAATTAAAAAGTTTTGAATATAAAATTTAGTATAACAATAATGTGTGACACTATACAAAAGTGTCAACTCGGCCAATAAGAATAACTTGGCTAATATTGACTTTTTTTCGTATTGGCCGAGTTCTGATCCGGCTAATACAGGATTTCGGAACGTCTTTGACTTTTAGATCAAACGTCATGATGAACACCAACTTAATGTAAATTTAACTGTCGTTTGGAAGACGCTGTTTTCTTTTTTTTTATACGCAATAAACATACCGAAACTTTCAGTTTGGCAAATATTTCAGGCTGAAGACGACCACATTCAATTAAAAGTGTTTGTAAGCAGAAAATTTAATTATTTCAGATTTGGGCAACGAATCTGTAGATTATATCACAAATCTCATTTCTTGTCGACCTCACAACTATTAAATTTTTTTTATCAATTTAATAGGTACAAATCGATTTTCTATTTATTTTCTATCCTAGTGGTTTTTTTTTTTTGTAAGTGTCATTTATTTTTCAACCCGAACCAGGCATATGAATTGTTGAAGGGTGACCTGCAACAGATCAAGTCTTTGTTCTTTGATTAATTGGTGTATGGATAGTTGTCTCATTGTCAATTATATTCAACTCCTAGTTTTATTTAATCCTTTGTTTCTGCATCTCTCATGCAATGGCAGTACCTGTCCAATTACAATTTATGCGTTGTGTCTAAATATGAATTGCAACACTTTATAGTGACTGAAAAGGGTGAACAAATCATCAGAAAATTTATAAGACACATCGAAACAGCACCAAATCATTTGACATTGCAGCTTATAAAAGGAAATTCAGATTTGGAGAGTTTCATTTTCAAGGTAAAAAAATGGTAAATTCTTGTGAAATGAAATAAAACACCAAAAAAAAAAAAAAAAAAAAAAAACAGGTAACATTGTAGTTAATTAATAAATATATCCTTACATGATTATTTCTGTATTGACCTTGTTATTTGTCATCGACCAGTTGCATTGGACAAGGCCAGCCCAATACAGAAATAGTCACGTAATAATATCAGAAATAATTCATGTGGGCTGGGGCTTGAATTTATACTGATTTCAACTTGAGTTGGTCCTTTATGCTTATTATTTTACCTCGAGCAATAGCGAGGGGTAAAATATTGGCATCAAGGGCAAACCGTGGTAAAATCAGTATAAATTCAAGTCCCCATGAATTATTTCTATTCTAATAGGAAAAATACGGCAATTCTTTTGGATCGAAGCGCTCTAGGTGAAGGCAAATATTTGCTGTTCCCGTAATTAAACACACTATTAATATTAACGTAAAAGACAAAGAAAACTGAATTAGTGACATGCTTAAACGATTTACAATAACATACTTAGACTGGTTTGGACGTAGTTAAATGTAGATCCAAAGCGTTTGAATGGCGTTATATTGCAATATGTCTTACTAGAAAAAAGTATAAGAAAAATACCGAACTCCAAGGCAAATTCAAAAATGGGAAGTCCATAAAACTGACAAAATCGAACGCTATTAATCAACAGAACAAGTGAAAAACAACTGCCATATTCCAAACTTGGTACTGGCATTTTCCGAAGAAAGGGGTGGGATAAACCTGGTTTTATAGCTAGCTAAAACTCTCCCTTGTTTGACAGTTGTTTATAGTTCGTTATATTGACAAAATTGGGTGAGCAACCCAAACAGACTAGTCGATCATTAACTCTCTTGCTGCCGGAGAGACACATATGTCAATACGTTTTATATATGCAAGCATCTGTTCATCAATGTATCACTTTCAAAAAAACATCGACGATTATACAGCGTAATATGTTTCTTCGATGGGTCTCTAATGTAATGTCATTAGTGCGTGACGTCATATATATATATATATATATATATCAAATGACGTCGTAGTTGGGCATGTGCAGCTACAGACGTCAAGCTGCAGTATTTTCTGGCACACGAAATGCAACCATATTAAATAAGCGGCAGCAAGAGGGTAAACTTAATCATTTTAGATTGGTACATACGTAGTAACTGCTTTAATTGTTGTTTTGTGAATGTATAACGTGGAAAGACTATAATAAAACATTTATCCTGAATCTGGTACATACCATTTGGTGTATATTAATTCTTTCTAATGTCATTGTTATCTTAATAATTAATATTTATTTGTAGCAAATTGCATGTTAATCCCCTGACCGGACCCTTTAGGTATTTTTACTCTTTATTCCTGCATTAAACTTTTTTCAAAAGAGGTTTATAACAAGTGGCCTTCAATTAATTACCTTCCAAATTTAATAATTTAATACAACCTAATAAATTACTTCTTTTATCTTTTGCTAAAATAATGTCTGGCTCTTAGAAAATCGTATTTACTCTCCAGCAATCAACGTTATGTTCCACTACACAATTGACATGAAAGAAGACTCACTTTTTTTTCGTGTACATAATAATATTATAACAATTATAGCCTTTAAATATTTTAATATTGTCTCCTTTATAGAACGTTGAGCTTACTGTATCCTATATTTTACTGCTTTGTCGCAATGATGAATTACGAATTTTAATATTTTCAGCGATTTTTGTGCAAAAATCCATATTTTGACCCAGAAATTAACAGAAATCAGCTTATTGAATTCTTTCAACTTTTTAATGACCAATAGGTTGTGCCAGTAAATCAAATAATACCAAGAAACCTTTTGTTGGATAATTCTTTAACTAGAATGACTGAACTATTTGGTTTTGACATTTTTCGTTTTTCATTTTTTCCAACTTACAGCATACCTGATGAATTTTATTCTTGAAAGTCACAGAAACCAGTATAATATACTGAAAACAAACTTTAGGATGATCAAAAATGTAAGAAAATATACATTTCGATCACAAAGACATCTATTTGATACTTTTTTTTTATTTATCTTTTGGATTTTCAATGATTTGCATGGTCTTGATTTCAACTGTAAAAAAAACATGTAACATCAAATTTATTTCAATAACTTTTAATTTTGTTATAAAGCTTAAAATGTGACTTTTATAAAAATGGTTGATTCAAAGACAATATATCCGGATTTATTTCTGTGAAAAGAAAACTGGAATATTTCGTAGGTTAATGAGAAAAGGGCTTTGTAGACTTCAAACAACAAAAAACTATTTTTTACGCTAAAGGGAGACTTAATAAAATCTTCAAACTACATTGGACTTTAATATTTTCCTAGGGGGAGAGGGGTTACATTGCAACCACAGTATACGTCTATGATACTACAAGTTTAGGGAGTGGTATGAAAAATAACACCAAAGAAAAGAAAACACGAACTAAAGGAAATAATCATTGAAATGATATCCCACCAATATAGCTATAAAATATGCACAGTTGACAATGATTAAGACACAGTATAATATAACCTAAATGAAATGATATCATGTCAATACAGCTATGAAATATGCACAGTTGATAATGAATAAGACACAATATGATATAACCATCACAATAGTATCTAATCCGTCGCAGACATCCTTCCAAGATGGACTTATCTCTGTCCAAGTTTTCTCTCCTTCACAATCGTTTGTAAACGGATGCACTCTTGTTACTGTATTTCTCCTTGTTCCAATATACCTCCAGAGAACGTTCATTTTAGTCTGTGGATCTTTATTATAAAGCAAAGATATGTAAATTGTTACAGCAAGAATCATTCCACTTATTGCTATGGTAACAATCATTATGATTAAGAGAAGACTCATTGGATTGGACGTTGCTGGTATAGCAGTTTGGACCATAGACAAAAATATTGCATAGGATAATAATACAGTTATTGAAAGTCCTATACGTTCTCCGGATTCTACGGGAAGAAGAAAAACCAAGGGATTGAGTAATCCAAACAATATAGTAGGTACACACACTAATACTGTGTAATATAAAGGTGCACGTTGTATTGTTAGTGTGAAGGTAAAAATGGAATAGCCATTCCAATTTGACGTTTCACCTTTATATGATTGTAATGACCAGTCCGAATTTGGTGTGAAAAAGGATAGTTCAACAGGATCAGAAACTGAATTCAATGTTACTATATTCACTGGCATTCCCACCACATTAAATATCAGATAACACGTCTGAGAATCAAACGGAAACTTATATATATTTGTTGTACATTTGGATGCCAATACGTCGGCAGTGAATATATTCACCCCACCAGTATAATTGATTGTTGCAAAGTTAGCGTTGTCTCCTCCCAATGGTTCATATGTTTCAACTGAATTTACAAGTGCAAACTTTGGGGTCCAAATATCGGTAACAGGTACTACTATGTCTTGTGCATTACCATATGACGACGGAGTCCACGTTAAGTCTTCATCTGTCCATGTCGCACCTAATCCAGCTGTTAATTCAAGAGTCTGGTCCACTTCTTGAAATCTAATTATGGTAACCAAATATATAGTCAAAGTAATATTTAAAGGTGACGAAAAATCAGAATTTGGAACTATAGATTTTTGGTAATTTGAAAACACATCACTATATAACTGTTTTATATTTGATTTACTCTGACAACGAACGGCGTTCAACAATATCGCACATAGAAACCAAAATCTGATTGATGGAATTTTATCCATTCTAGGTAACTATTCAGTAGAGCACAAATGTATAACCAGTACTTAGATTAAAGTCTTCGTAATGAGCAGGAAGCACATAACATGTTCTGATAAATATACTGTTCTTAATTATAACCTTATAACCTTTTAATTTGTTTTAATCACATCTACTTACTGTTAAATCAACAATGTACAATTATTGTTTTAATTAGAGATTATATTTAAGTAATTGACAAACAATAATAAAAATATAAGGAAATACATAACCGAAAGGTAATAACGAATAAAAGGAAAAGCCGGATGAGCGTCAGCGTATGAATGTATCAAATTCATTAATACAACAAATATATTAAAATGTGACTTATACTAGAAAACAAGTAATGGACGTCCGAGTGTCAATTGTACGGAATCAGTGACTTATACTAGAAAAACAAGTAATGGACGTCAGAGTGTCAATTGTACGGAATCAGTGACTTATACTAGAAAAACAAGTAATGGACGTCAGAGTGTCAATTGTACGGAATCAGTGACTTATACTAGAAAACAAGTAATGGACGTCAGAGTGTCAATTGTACGGAATCAGTGACTTATACTAGAAAACAAGTAATGGACGTCAGAGTGTCAATTGTACGGAATCAGTGTTATATTATCTAGAATGAGTATCAATAGAAAAATACAAATCAAATATCCTCAAATTTTCCATACAATTTACATTAATGTTTCAATAATTGCAATGACAAATCAGACGTACATGTGTCTATATCTACACTAGAAACTCTTGATTCTCTTTCAAACACAATCTATAATATATATCCAAGGTTTATGACATAAATGTTATTTATATAACATAAACGGTACCAATTTGACTGCACCAGTTCAACATTTCGATAAAAAATGTTTCTTCAGTGATGTCGAGGCCTAAATATTTGAAAATTCAAATTGGTGTGGACGTTTTATGCGAACCTTTCAACCTATGCAAACTATGAAACGATTGATTACGATACGGCAGCTATAGAGCTTGTGACGTCATTGGTATTTTAAAATCCGTCTGACCTACAACATAAATCATTCATCAACAACGGTGGTAAAAATTAAAAAAAAATATTGTGATGATTAGTACTGCTTTCCGTAAACGATATCCAGTTTGTTGGTATCTGTTACATTTTACTAGTGTTGAAGGAGTGCCATTCTGTCGCCCCACAATCAACTACAGATCTTACTAGCAAAATGTATGCTCTTGTTTTGCATTTATGAGGGCAGTTGAATCGGCGTTGACACATCACATTATCATGTATCGATTATTTGGCCCCGTCCCCTAAATGATGATCTATTGACTTTGAAACTTAAATTTGCACAGTTTAAATAAATGTTAAAGTTTTAGATTATGTCGGTTTGAACTGGAATCCCTAATGGATATCCCATCGAATTAGAAATAAAGGATACTAAGACACAGTTAAGTCTGCCTTATATCTTGACTTACATCTAGTATTTGATAATGAGGGTCGGTTGAGAACAAACCTTAACGGCAAAGAGAGGATTTCAGCTTTTCAATTTTGAACATTTGATACCTTTCTTTGACGAATATCCCACCTCCTGCCACTCAATATTGATACATTTACACCAAACAAAATTCTTGCATCTTTTATATTGAAGTTGGACAAATGGGTGGTTATCAGTAAAATAAATATTAGGTAAACAATCAAAGAAGCACATAATTTTATAGTTTGAGCTTGAGTGTGGGGTAAGATAATGAAATCATGAACAGTCAATAATGTACAAACCGTCTTTTTGACATAGTTACCAGATCAATAAGGCAATGCCTTCTATTGCATATTGTCAATTACCAAGGATTTTGATGGTAGATGTAAAAATATGAAATTCCAATTCCATCTGCAATCATTGCATACTGCAGTTGTGTACATTTGACCATACATTTCAAATCAAAAGAAAGTATTCCGTGTGAAGACTGACGTTTTGGACATGGAAAGACGTCTTTCTATTTTCAATATCTTATTTGTATACAAACTTTGTGTATTTTGAGGTTAAAGTTCTATTTTTGCCACAGAAAATTAAAACAGGAGGAAAATTTTGTTCAAACAACTCTCGGGTAAGTTACTTCCTAATATTTCCTAATATGCCATAAAATATTTGTAGAAATTTTTACAGGGGTGTCAGGAGGATTTGCAATAAATGCAAGGATTATGTAACTTTATTGACAATAACCGCCAAACTCTGTATGTGCCTGTTCTGAGTCCGGAGCTTGTAAATCACTGGTTGTTATTGGTCGCTGCCTTTTTTGTTTTTCGCTTATTGATTCGTACATAAATCAGTTGGTTTTCTTGCATGAATTGTTTTACAATTTGTCATTTCGGGGACTGTTATAACGTAATGTGTGGTATGGGTTTTGCTCATTGTTGAAAGCCGTTCGATGACCTATTAATGATTACATCCACGTCATTTGGTGTCTGATGACTATATACATGTAGCCTCATTGGCGATCATAGAAAATCGTCTTTTTTAAATTAGAAAAAAGAATCGAAGATTTCCGCTTTTTTTGTGAAAGGGCTAACCCCTTAGGAAATTTTGATACGTTTTATTTGGGAATATGCTGCTATGACTAAACAGTATAATTTACAAGATTAATTGGATTAGTCTTGAAAATCAATGATTATAAATACTGAGAACATACAAATATTATTGCAGAACTAAAAAAAAAAAAAAACAAAAACATCCAACCCAGATGAGATCATTCCATTGCTGCTGAAAAAAACTAATAGTGGAAATATGCTCTTACATCTTCATTTTTTTAAAAGTCTACTAAAACAGCAGGATGGGGAGAAGAGACATTAATTGTCGAAATCCGGATATGGTGTACTAATTTTTGCACCTCTTGTTTGCGGTTTACCATCTTTTCAGCAAGTTTATTATTTTCTGTTTGGTATTAAATTAATAGTTAAGATTCATTTTGTTACATCTGGCGATCCGTTTATTTGGTAATCGCCAATGGCAGTCAGCAGGGTTTAAGAACATCCGTTGTTCGACCTGTTAGTCAAATGCGTTTTGTTTAAATATACTTTTTCACTTTTTGGTCTTTTGGGAAATGTTGTTTGTGCTGTATATAGACCCCTCTACAAAACAATTTGTTTTGCAGGCACACGTATAAAAATTGCGGTTTTATCCGACGCAATGATAGGTTTGAACGTTGTTTTCAATTGAGACTTATTTATATTTTTTCCTTTGGGCTTGTATTATATTTTCCTTCGGGTTTCTATGATCCGTTCATCCTATTTCGACTCTTTCAAAATTCAAGAGTCTATCCTAAATTGAGGTAAATCATATGGCCTTCCAAATACCGTTTCGATTCCTCACTCCACTGAAGAGACATAAATTGTCGATATCCGGATATGGTGTACAAAATTTTGCACCTCATGTTTGCAGTATACCATCTTTTCCCCAAGTTTATTATTTTCTGTTTGGTATTAAATTAATAATAAAGATCCATTTTATTACATCTTGTGATCCGTTTATTTGGCAATCGCCAATGGCAGTCAGCAAGGTTTAAGAAAATCCGTTGTTCTACTTGTTAGTTAAATGCGTTTTGTTTAAATATACTTTATCAATTTTTCGGTCTTTTGGAAAATGTTGTTTGTGCTGTATTTAAACCCCTCTACCAAGAAATTTGTTTTGCATGCACACGTATAAAAATTGCGGTTTTTATCCAACGCAATCATAGGTTTGAACGTTGTTTTCAATTTAGACTTATTTATAATTATATTATATATATATATGTATCAATGCCTATTACATATAGGTCAAATAGATAGCATGGGCAAGATTTTATGGTAAATTGTTAAAGGCTGTACAAAAAATAATGAATTTAAAACCCACCAAGGCATACAATTTAAATGAAATCATACATTGACCTCTGTAAAAATGCACTCATGAGGGTCAAATTGGGGTTTACAGAATAAGAAATAATGGCAAAAAATAATTAATAGAGAAACATGAGCAAAAATATTAACAATTTAGAATAATGGGGTGCAAACGTATAAAGAATAACTGTGGAAAATGAAAACAAATTAGGTAAAACAATACCGATTACAAAAATGAATGTACAGAATAAAGAGAAATTTTAGAGATAAATAAAAAATGCCTAATCATTTAAAGAATACAGAAATAAAGGACCTCATAATCCCCTCCTCATACTTAAATATTTTGTAAAAAGTTTATAAAAACACATGTTGATCATACAGACAAGGAAAAATTTCATGTTTCATTAGGTCTCCGTTCGATCGTCATTGTTGACCTATAGTTGCTTCCAACCAAGTCATCTGGACTCTGGATAATTGTTGTCACTAGGTCACCGTATAGCCATCATTGTTGACCTATAGTTGCTACCAACCAAGTCATCTGGACTCTGGATAATAGTTGTCACTAGGTCACCGTATAGCCATCATTGTTGACCTTTAGTTGCTTCCAACCAAGTCATCTGGACTTTGGTGGATAGTTGTCACTAGGTCACCGTATGGTCATCATTGTAGTCTATACCATCCATTTCATTTGGATTTTGATGGGTAGTTGTCACTAGGTCATCGTATGGCCTTCATTGTTGACCTATAGTGGCTTCCATCCACGTCATTCGGACTCTGGTGGATAGTTGTTACTAGGTCACCGTATGGCCTTCATTGTTGACCTATAGTTGATTCCATACACGTTGTTTGAACTCTTACAACCACTTATTGGCCACTAATTTATGGCCGACCACCACTTATTGACCACTGATTTCCAACCACCACCACTTATTGGCCCCTGGTTTATTGCCGACCACCACTTATTTGCCACTGATGAATGGCCTAACACCACTTATTGGCATCACAATGGACATTCCCTTACAACATAAATAATTAAAAGTATTCACAAATAAACTTTAAAAAATATCTTTGCCATTGCACTGAATTGATCGACTCATGCACGTCAATATAGAAAAAAAAAGGTTAAACTAGAAAATGAAAATAACACTT